TTGAGAATTTTTTATACTTTAGTAAAAGAACAAATATATAAATACTACTTGTAATCATAGAGTTATAGAATTAATGGAGATTTAATCTAGATTAAATACATAAAATTTCATAGCGCAGATTTAAGTGTCAAATGAAAACCGCAATGATGTACGATGGATATGTGTTTCGACGATTTGCAGTGATATAGATAATCCTAACAAGAGTATAAATAATTGTGTACACAAACAACATGTTGGATGAACTTTTAAAATCTTTTAGCTTTGATACAAAGCTGAGAAAGGTATTGATTTTACTATGATGTGTTTATTAATTAATTTATTTTTTTGTGTCTGTTACCACTTTTTCTTAGCTCTCACCGAACCGATTTCTTTCAACGATACGTCAAAAGATCACAAATCGTATCTAGTCGAAGACATTATCCTCAAAAATTGAAAAAATTTCCCTCGTTCTCCGTAAATGGAGGAAATCTCCAAAAAAATTACAAATTTAAAAATCTCAAATTTCGAAATGTTTTCAATTTTTTTACTTAAAACTGCCATAACTTTTTCAAAAATTAACACATCAATATAATTTTTTTTATAGATGCATGATGTCTTTACCTATCATTTGATATATTTTTTTTATAAATATGACCCTTTAACTGCCCACAGAGTGTATTTAAAATGACAACTTTTTCACAAAACATTAACTTTTTCAACTTAACTTTTGAAAGTATCTGGAAAGTTTGACACTTTTATATATATCTTAAATTAAAGCTAATGTAATATACTTTATTATGGAAAAAAAAATTCGGACTTTATTTTGTCTTAACGGTGAAAATGGCTACCAAATACTATTTTTGTGTGAAAATTCTCGATTTTATTTTTTACATTTTTAACTTTATAATGCTATTTGTAATTTATTGAAAAGTGTATGGATCAACACAATTTTTTATGAGAAATAATATTTATATCCCTTTTTCATTCGATATACTTCATCTTAATCAGGATATAAATAAGGAAATAGCAGTTCATGTAGCTTTTGGAATAATCCATCAATTTTTTAAAATTAAACACTATCTAAAGATTTGCATCGAAGCGTGAATACATCGAATACATGATCTAACTATGCCACGACCTCCCTGTGCTGGGTTTTTTTTTTTATTGCTATTTAATACTATAAAATTTTTTTGATAAACGGCGGCTGTACAAATTACAAACAATTTTCATACTACTATGTTCCTCATTCATATTACTTGAAAATTAGTTAATATTATTACTAAGATCAATAATTTTTTCTTATTTGTAGAATTTTGAACAAATCTATGATTTTTGAGAATATATTATTTAATTTGTGAATGACACCAAACATGTTTTATAGCTTTTTATTTTTAACAAATTTTAGTTAAAAAAATTTGATGTTAGAGAATGGATTACGAAATAACTAATCATTGTAACATTGATAATTTTTTAGCTTAGATGTGCAGCTGAGAAGATATTGGTTTTATGATAGTGTATTTTTTTAATGTCTATCCATGAACATTCTCAACTCTCACTAGATCGAATTTGTTGGTCTGTGTTAATACAGTGTTAAGGTGTTTTAATAAACACCTTAATTTTAATCAAATCAAATTCCAATATTTCAGTGAAATTTTAAAATTTAAGCAATTGTAAAACTACAAATATACAAATTATTGTAATTTTCATTGATACGCATCAAAGCGTTTTTATGATTGAAATGTTAATCACTGTCAGATATCATACATATTTACTCCAACTATGCCGCGTCCTCACTGTGCTGGATTTTTATTTTAAGGCAACAGGGTATTTAGAAAAAAAATAATAACACATATATAAAGAATTATTTAGTAGTTATTTACTTAACTTAAGTTCTATGAAGTGTCAACATTAATTAATTAATATGTAGCGAGTAAATTATGTATCGTTTATAATTTGTATTTTCTTCAGAAATATGCAAATTCATTTAAGGTACAATACTAATTTCCTTTGGAAATTACCAAAACACTGTATTTAACTGTCAGAAACCATATTACATAATTATGAGAGTACTAAATTTTAATTTAATATCAGTTGCTAATAAATAGATGTAATGTGCACAAATACAATTTTTCTTATAAGCATTATATTATTGATATGTACAATTTTTATAAAACGGCGATATACGTATACGATTCATCATACGACTTCCCATTACTCGTTTATTCGCTGAATATTTGGTATTCGTCGAAGTTTGTTAAATAATGGGGACGGTGTTGTTGTGCGAATATTTGTTATTTGTCTCCTTTCGACCGGTTGTCCGTTTTTGTGACATATTTGGTGAAAATATGAACCGAAAAGAAAAATATAGCGAATGCTGATTATTCGCAAAAGAACGCCGTTGCCACTACTTGACAAACATTGAATACCAAATATTTGGCGAATAAACTAGTAATGAGGACCCGGTTTAAGATATTTCAAAACGCTGATAGATTTTTATCAAGTGTCAGTTTATTTTTTAGAATCTCACAAGTGTCAATGTTCTTCCACAGTGTTTAAAAATCTAACATGCGCGGATGTTACTTCATAGTTATATATTCTATCGTTTTATTAACCATCATATTTTGCTCTACACATATAACAAACTTATATACTCTGTTTACTTATTTAAATGTGCAGTATTTTTATTATACACGAAAAATCCGTACAAATAATGTAGCAATCTTGTCGATCAATTCTACGTAAAAATAAAATAAATATTTTTAAGGATACTGTCTAAAATTTAATAACAAAAAAAAAGTGTTTATTTATAGAATATTCATGTATTGTAAGCTTTAAAAACTTTTACAAGAAAATTAGTACTTATTTATAAAAGTAAAGTTATATATGTTGTTACATGTTATTACTAAGTATATGTAACCTTTCGAGAGTAACAATTGTAGACGATTTATTCAACACAGAGTTCAAAAAAAAACTTTTTTTTGCATACCCCATAATATTTTATTGGTTAGAGAATATTTATATTATTTGTCAAATTTTGAAATATTAAGTCATCTGTAGGAAAAATATGCTGATTTATTTTGATTTTCATAAAAAGGTACTTGAAAAAAATATTAATATAATTTTGGTAACCATAGGGTTATATAGAATGATTTTTTTATCATAATCCACTAAATTATTTACAGAATAAAAATTGTTTAAATTGTTTTTTTTTTTTGTTACCTTTAGTTACATATTAATTTTGAATTATTTGCTATGTAATACTTTTTAAGTTTATTTCTTATGCCTTGTAAGAGTGTAAACTTTGTTTTTTCAAACATGAACACATATTTTGAATTAAATAAAATCTTTGAGCTTTTATTTTAATAATAAATGGCATTTGAATTTTTAATACAACTTTATTCGTCCATTATATATAAAACTTTAAAGTTTCAACTTTTTGAGTTATATACATGCATAGTACTCGAGAGATTACAAATACATGTAACTAATTGTTAAGATACTAAGATATATAAGTCTATATTCGCAGATATAGACAAATATATCTAAACGTTAAGTAAAAAAGGCATTTTAAATTAAGAGTTATTTTTTTGAAAACATTGGTTAATGACAAAAAAAGATGTTTCAACAGTTGTTAATTCTCAACTGACTAATGTACTTTTAATTTATTAAAGTTGTCCTCAAAAAGTCAAACGGAACAGAAGTTCCTTTTATCCCACTTAAATGTTAATTGTCACGTCTGAGTGCTTTCTTTAATTTTTATTCATGTTTTTGTCTTCATAAATAATTTTACAATAAAAGTCAAATATGTATGGAAATAAAAGTATTATAATAATATCTTACTATAAATTTAAAATTTAAAAGTTAATTAAAAAATTTGTTGAATAATTATTTTTTCAAATATGATTCAACTTTTTTCATAAAAACAATAATAGAAAAATAAATAACTTTTTAAAGATTAGTTCATATTTATTAAATAATAAAAAAAAATAGTACATATAGTACTGTCTTATACTAAAACTTAATTTTTTAGACAGGTAGTTAAACTTGTACGAATATTCATGTAATTTCCTAGTTACATGTGTTAATTTAACATGTAGTCAATTAAAAGAACAAAATATTCTATGAAGAAGACAACAAAAGAAATTTATTACAATTATTTTACCTCGTACGATAGTATATAACTATACATTGATTCGTTTTAACTTAGTTTCTAATTTTTTATTAAAACTGATCGAATTATAAGGAAGCTTAAATATTTCAAAAAATGATTTTGTAGAAAATAAGTTATCAAACGCTAAATAATAAGTATAAGGTATTTGATAAAAAAATTATTCACGTTAAAACAATATCATCAACGTATCCACTCCAAATTATTAGTTCCAAATACTTAATAATACACCAAAAGTTAAACTAAAAAAAATTACTAAATACCAGTTAAAAGTTTTTTTGGGTTTATGGTAAATTTAAAAAAAATTTGATTACTATAATCAACAAGGAAATATTTTACTACTTTATCCAATCGGCATTTTTCATCTTGAATTTTTTTTAAAAATAATTAACTGCATAAGAGATCATATACTATTTAAATAATATTATTAGATATTTACTGCAATGCGTTTAAGTGAAGATGTTGATTTTATAAGATGTTAAGTATTCACTTGCGATTAATGAAATTATTTTTTTTTATCGTAAACTTATTATTCGTTCTCCCCTAATATTAGTACAATTAATTGCCTATTAATATATTAAACATTTCTACAAAAGTTTGAAAGAACTACTTATATCACTACCTCTAAAATTATTATGGATGTCCAACGTGACAAAATCAAAATTAGTGTTTTATTAAATTAAAGTAATTTGATATTTTATCATAAGCGATTTTTCTCGAAAAATCCCATAATGAAAAATGAATTATTCTAACCAAATGTATTTAATATTATAAAATATCAAAAAATATATAAAATTTATTTATATTTAAATAAATGTAAAAAACAACACAAAATATAAAGCTTTTTACTTACTTCAATTTGATCCGGGTAAAACTAATATTACAAAAAATTTTGAACGATTTGGTCACTGCCAACATTAAAATTATTTAATGTAAAAACGAAAAACACTGAGTGCCAAGCTATTATATTACTTCAATATTTTCGTTAATTACATGTTGTATTTCAATTTTGAAATATATTTTGGTATATAATCTCGTGTAGTATATTTTAATTAAAAAAACATTATGTAGTATTTAAGATAAATTGCGTTATACAGGCGAAACAGGGTGTGGTACACCTGAACAATAAAATTAATGATGCAATTAGGTATGTGTGTATATAGGTATAAAAATAAAAATAAGGGTGAAACATATGAATATAAAAATAAAAATTTATACGTTATACATCGTAAAAACAAAAGTATTCCTCGTAATATTTTAAGTAAAAACATTATGAATTAGGTATGGGAATAACTAATTAACGCGAAAAACATATATTATATAACATATAATTAATAACATATATTCAAATATACGATAAAAATTCATATTTGGAAATTTTTAAATATTCTATTGTTTTTGGCGTTACAAAGAATTTTAAACCGATCCCTATCAAAAGTTGAACAATGCGGATAAATAATTCGTTTATTTAATGAGCTATTTTATCACACTAAAACAAGTAATAAATTGTTGAGTATTTATAAGCAAGTAGAAATTATTTACCTATGAAGGTACAGATATTCTTGAGTAATGACCAAATGACTACTTATGACAATTGTCACTTAAACAATTTCGATGTCCGAATCGTATGCATTTTTTGTCGGTTAAATTTTAAATATACGATAATTTTAACGGAAGACTAACACGAAAATATAAGACTTTCGGTACGACAAGCGCCCGCGACGACTAAAATGCGCCGTCATGTTCCGCCAGACAGCTACTGACTGTTATCCGTACCGCTCTTAACGACAAAAGCTACTCCGGTAAAATATAAGCCGACGGTAGCGCAGGTTTCGAGTTTCGCAATACGAATCATCTCGTCAACAATGTTAAGTACATTTACTTTTTAATTATATACCATGTGTAATTTTCAATTACTTAGTACTGCTGCAACTTGAAATTATCTCACTTTAGACCAGCACCCTCTCAATATGAATGCTAGATAAACACACCCAAAGTCATGTACCTCCATTGCAGAGGTGTCTTCTTGACAGTTATATGGGGAGGTGAATTTTAAATATTTTAGTTTGGAAATAATTGGCTCAAATAATGTATTGAACTTTTGAGAGTGTTACATCTTTAAAAAACAAAAAAAAAAATTGTTTTCCCTACGCTCGAAATAATATGCCCAGCTTCATTTTTATTTGATAAATATGTGGCTAACCTGCATCAAATTAGAAATAAACTATATTAATATTCAGAATATGACTAATAATACAAATCTTATATTATTAGACCAAAAAAATACTTCGTTAAGAATCACTTTTACTATCAATTGTTAATAAGACAATTCCAAATTGTATAATTTTTTTTATTCATAACCTTAAAACATAATAATGAACAAGTAACATACAAATAAACTATTACTAACTTTAACAAGAAAGTTGCAATGCTCTTTTTTTTCAAAAAATTCAATTTAGGAATTACTTCATTTGTTTATACGCGTATGTAAAAATACAAAAAAAATATGTATGTACTTATTACAGCTAAGATATACAGGGTGGCCCACCACTCACTGACAACTTAAATAACTTTTGATCCAGTTAATATTTTTAGTTGATTTTTTTTTTAAATAATATTTATACGTTAGGTCTATAGCTATATCTCAATAATTAATTTTTTTACATTTTATTAAAAATATTAATTATTTTAAAATTTTAAAAAAAATGTAAAAAAAAAATCTAAGATAGCTATTTTGTAGAGTAGAATTTAAGAAAAATTTTAGTAAAAAAATATCTTATTAATATTCAGTAGTAAATATTCTGTAGCGTTTTGAAGTTTGTGAAAATTTGAATTTTCATGTACTATTTTACGGTATTAAACATTGAAATACGTATTGAGAAAAGGACAGAAGAAAACGCTATCTTTTCATGATTACTGTGTATACATATGATGATAGTGTGTATACATTACAAACTTGGCATAAATACCATGATAAGAAATTAGATAAGGCAATTATTACTTATCACTCTCATTCAAAAGTATATTGAAAAGATAGCGTTTTCTTCTGTCCTTTTCTCAATACGTATTTCAATGTTTAATACCGTAAAATAGTACATGAAAATTCAAATTTTCACAAACTTCAAAACGCTACAGAATATTTACTACTGAATATTAATAAGATATTTTTTTACTAAAATTTTTCTTAAATTCTACTCTACAAAATAGCTATCTTAGATTTTTTTTTTACATTTTATTTAAAATTTAAAAATAATTAATATTTTTAATAAAATGTAAAAAAATTAATTATTGAGATATAGCTATAGACCTAACGTATAACTATTATTTAAAAAAAAAATCAACTAAAAATATTAACTGGATCAAAAGTTATTTAAGTTGTCAGTGAGTGGTGGGCCACTCTGTATATTGAATTTAAATTAGATAAAATGCAATAATATAACTAGTTAAATTTCTAATAAGACAGTTGTTCTTATATTATTTTAATAAACCAAGATAAATCAGGATTGTTAAGTAACATTGGAAACGTTGTTTTCCACAAATGGAAGAAAATAATCAAGAATAGCAATTATTGCTCGCAAAAGTAAAATTACTATTATAGTGGTCATTATGATAAATGCATCTATTTTTAACATTAATAAGTGTAATTATATTTATTGGTATATCAATATGCTGGACACCTATTCAACTTCTCAGAAATTCGAAATCCTCGTTTAAAAGTACTTACTTAGGCATTTAATATTCCACGAACCAATGTTTAAATAATCCATAATTATTTATATAAACTATTTTTATTTCTATAACTCAAACATCTTTATACAACTAAAAAGTATAAATAAGTACACACAACAATTTTTGAGAAAAATAAATAGATTCTAGTACATTTTTTAACTAACGGCGCACAGTGGGACCAAACGCTGATTTAGCCGGCCAAAAGTACCATTTTTAAATCAACTAATAAAAATTTTTTTTTTAGCAAATTTTTTTTATTATATCCTTATAAGGTCATGTACAAAAATTCAAGGCCAAAAATTGATATAGTAATGGTTGGGTGCTATTTAAATATCATAACACTGTATTTTTTTGTTATTTTTCTAGGATTTTTATTATTTCTTCAATCATTTTTTCCTGCTTAATTAAAAACCTAAATTTTTTTTTTTTTAATTTAAAATGTTTAAAAAGTCATCGGCTTTCAAATTTACTAAGAAAAAATTTTTATTTCTTTTTTTTTTTAATTTTAATAATTTTTTACACACAAAAAAATGCAAATACTTATTTTACATTGTTTTTTAAAGAGTTTAACTCAAAATTACGCAATATTACGATTACACCAATACATGCATGTTGTAGAAGAACTCTTAAGCTACAATTACAAAAAAAAAAATTTTGCGTCAGATTGCATTTGAGCCCTGCACATAGAATTTCCCTATAATAAACGTGTATTTTTGTAAAAATTGTAATTTTAATAATTTCATTGGTTTTATCAGTTCGATCAAGTTTTAAGCTGATAAAGTTTATCAGCTTAAAAGTTGTAAAAATTAGATGTAATTAAAACTAATGATTCGTTAAAATTAAGTTTAAATAAAGTTTTTAATAATA